ACTGTCCATGTGTAGACATTTGAAGTTTCACTTTCTCGGGACTTTCTTGGTTCTGTATAGAAACGTGAAATCATTCACTCCATGGGGGATGGTGGCCACAGCGCCCAGTGTGGGGTTGATTCAGTGTTCCTGAGAGTACCCATGGAAGGTTTAGAGTTGAGGTCTGGCTCCAGCCATCAAATATCAGTTCAGGTTTCCATGGTGCTGTCATCTTTGGAAAGAAATGAGCACAGGAAGAGGAAGTGAAGCTAATGGATGCAGCTTACCAAGATACCAAGGAGAGCTCTGTCTCCTACTAAACTGGAAGCATTACACTTCCAGGCACCACACTGATCTCTATTACCAGAAGTGCCTTAGTCATCAAGGCATGTATGTTTTGAAAAAAAATCTCCCCATAGTCCCTCTGGTTTTCCTTTGCTGGACATTCTTGCTGATCCTTCTTCCTTCCTTTATGTATTTATTTTTTCTGGGTAACTCTTCCTCTTCTTTAGCTTCTGACTTGGGAACTACTTCTTCCAGGGAGTCTTCTCTGCTTTCTGCAGGTCAAGCTGGTTCGGTCTATCTCTTGCAAATTCTTTTGAGAGCATCTCCTTCTCTGTCACAGACTATCATATCACAGTGGTTCCCCAACAGACTGCAACTTGGGGAGCGTGTTGAGATAAAGATTCCCAAATCTCACCTCCAAAAGCATCTGTTTCAGTAGGAGTGGGATGGGGTCAGGGTCTGGTATTTTTTAACAAATACTCCAGATGCTTTGATCACAGATAATCCCTAGAGCATATTCAGAGACTCTGGTTTATCTGACTTCTCTCTGAGTTGTCTTACTATTTCGGGTCCATGAGAACAGAAACGAAATCTGCCGAGTGTCACACTTGTATCCATAGGATTGATCTGAGCAATCAGCATTCAATAACAGCCACTCCCACTTTTGTTGTTGTTCAGTTGCTAAATCGTGTCTGATTCTTTGTGACCCCATGGACTGTAGGATGCCAGGCTTCCCTGTCCATCACCAACTCCCGGAGTTTGCTCAAACTCATGTTCATTGAGTTGGTGATGCCATCCAACCATCTCATCCTCTGTCATCCCCTTCTCCTCCTACTTTCAATCTTTCCTAGCATCAGGGTCTTTTCTAGTAAGTTGGCTGCTCTCATCAGGTGACCAAAGTATTGGAGCTTCAGCTTCAGAACCAGTCCTTCCAATGAATATTCAGGGTTGATTTCCTTTAGGATTTACTTTTTTGATTTCCTTGCAGTCCAAGGGACTCTCAAGAGTCTTCTCCAGCACCACAATTTGAAAGCATCAATTCTTTGGCTCTCAGACTTCTTTATGTTCTGTCTCTCACAGCCATACATGACTACTGGAAAAACCATAGCCTTGACTATATGGACCTTTGTCAGCAAAGTGACGTCTCTGCTTCTTAATAGGGTTGCCATAGCTATACTCCCCATATATGTATGTCTGCATATAGTAGGCGTGTAGATGGCTGTGTATCTGTATATGTACATGTATACATATGTATGTGCATATGTTCACACACACACATATAGTCACAGACTGCATGTGGTATGGAGCTGTGTTTGGTAGGTTAGGTAGGTAGGTTACCGTAACTACCTGTGTTTGGTAGGTATGGTATGGAGCTACGTTTGGCAGTCCTGTGTGTTTGACAGAGATGAGAATGATCGAGGCATGGAGTACTGAGGAGCAGCATCTCATAGCCTCTGGTTGTCCTCACTGCATCTCATAGCCTCTGGTTGTCCTCACAGCATCTCACAGCCTCTGGTTGTCCTCACTGCATCTCACAGCCTCTGGTTGTCCTCACGGCATCTCACAGCCTCTGGTTGTCCTCACGGCATCTCACAGCCTCTGGTTGTCCTCACTGCATCTCATAGCCTCTGGTTGTCCTCACTGCATCTCATAGCCTCTGGTTGTCCTCACGGCATCTCATAGCCTCTGGTTGTCCTCACTGATTTTTCCATCATGTATTGCCAAGAGAATGGATGGCATTCTCAGAAAGCAAAACAGAAGCAAAACCTTCCACTCACTGGTGACTAGGTAAGAACTGGCCACCTCTATCCTACCAGACACTCCACTAGGCTCCCCCTGCTGAGTCTTCCTGGGTGCAGACCCTGATCAAGGTATCTCAGCATCACCTGGAGGGCATGTCGCCTCGTGGCACTTCTGCTGAGAAAACAAATGCTTCAGTTCCAAACAACCAAGACTGCAGTGGGGCCACGCGTCAAGATAATGCTGGGAAACAGACTTGGAAGACAAAGTCTCTTCTATCAGTCACGTCCCCAAACTGTTATAAATCTGGGACTGCCCACACTCCACTTAACATGTTAGAATACAACTGAGTGCTGAGCTTTACTCCAAGTTCATTATAGTGGGGACTTTGCATGATGAATGTGCTGGAGATGAGGGACTTTCAGTAATCCAAGAAGGCAATTCCCAGAGCCAACAGGCCATTGTGAGCATGTATGAATTGATAACCAGAGTGATCACTTGTGCAATTTCAGGCTGTGGGGATATGAACAATATCTCGCTAGTGGATAATATCAGTTGTCAAGCATATGTTTTATAACCCCCAGGACTCCCTCTTGTTTTTGCAAGCTGCTGGTGGATATCTTTGATTTTTTTTTTTCCTAGCTGCATAAGACTTTGGAAAGGTTAGATTTCTCCCCCCCCCCCCACCTTCTTTGACCAGAGAGGTTAATAGTAGAGAAAATGTAAGAAGAAAAAAAGAAGTGAAGATAGAAAATAAAAATTATGAAGAACCATTTCATAAATACCACTGAAAACATTTCAAATGCGTATTTTAATATCTGTAGTCAATGTGACAAGAAGACTGCATACATCAGAGGCACTGCTTTCTCTGCCTGAAAGATTATGAGGGTGAGATTTAATTGTCTCTACATCTTTTAGCCCCTGGTGTCTCAGGGTTCTTTAAGAAAGGAACCAAGTCTGCTCACCTCCACATCTTGAATGCCCAAACCAGCACCCTGAACAGTTGGTAAATAATTGATACGTTCATCGGTTCATTCATCACCTTGGATTTCTTTTTTTTTAAATTAATTAATTTATTTTAATTGGAGGCGAATTACTTTACATTATTGTAGTGGTTTTTGCCATACATTCACATGAATCAACCATGGGTATACATGTGTTCCCCTCCTGGAAGCCCCCTCCCACCTCCCTCCCCATCCCATCCCTCTGGGTCACCCCAGTGCACCAGCCCTAAGCACCCTGTCTCATGCATCAAACCTGGACTGGCAATCTGTTTCATATATGATAATATACATGTTTCAATGCTATTCTCTCATATCATCCCACCCTCACCTTCTCCCAGAGAGTACAAAAGACTGTTCTTTACATCTGTTTCTCTTGCTATCTTGCATATAGGGTTATTGTTACCATCTTTCTAAATTCCATATATATGTCTTAGCAAACTGTATTCAGGGTTATTGTTACCATCTTTCTAAATTCCATATAAATGTCTTAGCAAACTGTATAAGTGTTTTTCTTTCTGACTTACTTCACTGTATATAATGGGCTCCAGTTTCATCTACCTCATTAGAACTGATTCAAATGCACTCTTTTTAATGGCTGAGTAATATTCCATTGTGTATATGCACCACAGCCTGCTTATCCATTCATATGCCGATGGACATCTAGGTTGCTTCCATGTCCTGGCTATTGTAAACAGTGCTGCGATGAACACTGGGGTACACGAGTCTCTTTCAATTCTGGTTTCCTTGGCATCACCTTGGATTTCTAAGAGTTGGAAGACAGGAACTGATCAGGTAGACTGTTATTAGGAACCAACCCAGGCAGATATGACCCAGGAAAAGGGGTGAGCCTCTGGGGAAGGTGATGGTGAGAGACAGGAGGCAAGAAGGAAGGAAGTTCTCTGTAAATAAGGAAGGAAGGAAGGAAGTTTCTCTCTGTAAATAAGCTCACCGACTTAGAGAATGACCATATGGGTAACAGGAGGGAAGAACTAGGGGGCGGGATAGCTAGGGAGTTGGGGATGGACATGTACACACTGCTATATTTCAAACAAATAACAAAGTCCTGCTGTACAACACAGGCGACTCTGCTCAAGGCTGCGTGGCAGCCGGGACGGGAGGGGAGTTTGGGGGAGAATGGATACACAAACCTAGACAGGATATTAAAGAGCAGAGACATCACTTGATGACAAAGTGCGTGTCATCAAAGCTATGGCTTTTCCAGTGGTCGTGTATGGATGTGAGAGTTGGACCATGAAGAAGTCTGAGTGCTGAAGAATTGATGCTTTCGAACTGTGGTGTTGGAGAAGACTCTTTGAGAGTGCCTTGGACTGCAAGGAGATCCAACCAGTCCATCCTAAAGGAGATCAGTCCTGGGTGTTCATTGGTAGGACTGATGGTGAACCTGAAACTCCAGTACTTTGGCCACCTGATGCGAGCAGCCAACTCATTGGAAAAGACCCTGGTGCTGGGAAAGACTGAAGGCAAAAGAAGAAGGGGATGACAGAGGACAAGATGGTTGGATGGCATCATTGACTCAACAGACATGAATCTGTGTAAACTTCAGGAGATAGTGAAGGACGGGGAAGCCTGGTGTGCTATACTCTATGAGGTCACAAAGAGCTGGACATGACATAGCAACTGAATAACAACAACAAACATGTATGGCTGAGTCCCTCCGCTATCCATCTAAAACCACTGCAGCTCTGCTAATTGGCCATGCTGCTGCTGCTGCCAAGTCGCTTCAGTCGTGTGCGACTCTGTGCGGCCCCATAGACGGCAGCCCACCAGGCCCCGCCGTCCCTGGGGTTCTCCAGGCAAGAACGCTCGAGTGGGTTGCCATTTCCTTCTCCAATGCATGAAAGTGAAAAGTGAAACAGAAGCCACTCAGTCGTGTCCGACTCTTAGTGACCCCATGGACTGCAGCCCACCAGGCTCCTCCATCCATGGGATTCTCCAGGCAAGAGGACTGGAGTGGGGTGCCATGGCCTTCTCCGCTAATTGGCTAAAAAGTTAAAACAAAAAAGAAGGAAGGAAATTCTGGGTTGGAATTGAAAGACTTGAATGATGTGGAAGAGGAAACCAATAGCTGCCTAAGACAAATACAAAAATACAGACAGGGAATAGGTAAGGAGCTTTTTCTGAATCAACAGAGAATTGGCATTGCCATGAATGTTCTAGACTCTTGACGGTTTTCTTTGTGGAGGAATCTCCATTAAAGTGATACGCCTCACCTCCCTTTGCCTCTTTGCTTACTCCACATAGGTAAATCAGGGGCATAAGAAATCTTATCAAAGAGTTGAAAGTTCAGAAGCAAAATTAGGTGTGCGTAGTCCTCCTCATTCTACTTCCTTCTTTAGGGTACAAGCTCTACAGGGAATATGTGTTCCCCTCAGCTTCTGCAGCATCAGAATCTGCCTTCTAGGATGACAAGCAACGCTGATGACACGGTGAGTAAGTCCATTTGTTCTTGGATTTAATTTTAGGAAATCCATTTGCCTGGGGATATACGGTATGTTCTCCAAAGAGTATCTGTACCAGAATTATAAAGTCATCTGCATCTGGCATCTCTTTTGTCTTACTTCTCAATTGGTTTAGAACTTTAAGGGTTAAAAAAAAAAGTGTCATTTATTGGAATCTCAATTCACCAGACAAATAATTGGCAGGCAGCAAACAGATTTCAACCCAATTCGATTTCACAAATGCTTTTCACACACCTACTATGTCTGCAGCCCCACATTGCCTTTCGGGATGTTTACAGCAGTAACCAAGACAAGATTTCAGGCCAGGGCACCATACAGCATTCTAGACTTGAGAGGGGGAGCAGATGTCATGACTGCTGACTTAATGGCAAAACCCATTGCCCAGTGCCCATGATTTAGCTATACAAGCTCTTTGGGCTTGCAGCCCCAAGCGTGTCTTATAATGTGAGTCCGTTGAAAGCAAGAACTCTGCCTTAGTCTTTACCTTGGTCTCAGTGTCTGGAACATGGATTATCCTAGAACATCATAATGGAATTGTTGGCTAGATGGATGGATAAGTCCTGCTGGATATGGAAAGACTCATGCTGCGAAGAAGGTAAAAATCACCTCCATCTCAAGTGATCAGAGTGACAAGTCCTAGAGTTTGAGCTCTTCTAACAGTTGCACTCTAAATAAATCATGCAAGTTTAGAAGATGTTTTCAAAAAAAGTAGAGTAGAGATTCTTTGTAGGTAAAGAATCATGTTTCAACAGTTAAATGCTTTGAAACAAAAATGAAGGCTGCTTTGTAGGTGGATAAAAAATGTATACAAAGATCTCCTGCTTCTTCCTTCCGTGAGTCTTTTCTTTTGGTCAGATGGTTAGGAATGAATTAATGGAATCGTGGCACTTGCTTTTTGATGGGGAAGATTATTTTTGATTTTCTAAATGACTGAGTCAGGTATCAGTTGGAGAATGCCAACAGTGAATGCTTGTTTAGATTCAGAGAAACCACAGATTGGATTGTATATTTCAAGGGGAACAAATAAAGAGAAAAAACAAAAACAATGACTATCTGGCATACAGGGTGCCTTAGATATCTCTTGGTTGAATGACATAAGTGAAATAGACACATGCTTAGAAAAAGAAAGCCCAAACAAGCACAAATCACAAAACACTGAGATGAGGCAGTGGTCAAGTTACAGGCAATAGCTTTGGGGTATCTTTTCCTGCACACCCAAAGTCCCCCGCGTCTTTAGGAAGCCTTGGGAATTAAAGACAAAACAGTGAGAAGAACAACAGCTGTTGGCTGACTTCCTATGGCAGTTTTGAATGAAAGATTTCGAGTTCAGCTTTTGCTCTGCAGACAGAAGTTATGAAGGGTTTTGAACCCTGGAATGGATTTGGATTTAAATATTTCCCGGCTTTAAATTTCTGTGACTGCTTTTGGTAACAGACCAGCAGTGCTTAATTTTCTCTGTTAATACGTGCATCAAATCACAGAGGAATTTTAATGGATCTGGTGTGGGGTGAAAGCATGTGTTAGTTAGTGGGGAGAATGTACAAATCTCTGTGTGCAAAAAGAGTCATTTGTATAATTTTTGAGACATAATGAAAACCTCTACAAAAACAAGGTCATATAAAAGCTATTGCCCCAAGTCTGTAACCCTGTGTAATGATATAAATTCCGATAAACCTATCATTCTACCAATCTTCCATTTTACCATGTTTATTTTTCTACACCTACGTCTAGACAGTTCTAACCACCTCCCAAAGATGATAACTGCTCGATTCCCAAGCCAAATATATGACTAGAATGCAAGTTCCAAGAGGGAAGACTTTTTACTTCTTGTTCCTTCTGTGTCTCTAGGGCCCAGACTATTTCCTGGCACAGAGCAGGGACTCAGTAAATATTTGTTGAATAAATAAATAAATGATGATCGCTATGAATTTAGCAAAAACAACACTCATTGAAAGTAACCGGAGGAAAGCAAGGGAGAAAAAGCCATGCCAAAAAATAAAAAGGACAAAATGTTCTGCAAAGAAATGCCATTTTATTGCTTTTAAACATGCTCTTTAAAATCAATGGCTATCAAGTGCTACCAATTTATGTGATACTTAGAGATATTAATACTTGCATAGATCAGTAAGGCCATATTTATAATTATCATGAGACATATATACCTAGAAGTGGCTTAGAGTACTGGAAATATTTTTTTAAAGAGTTTAACACCCCAATCTAAAGAGCCTCTTGATGAAAATGAAAGAGGAGAGTGAAAAAGTTGGCTTAAAACTCAACATTCAAAAAAACAGGATCATGGCATTCAGTCTCATCACTTCATGGCAAATAGATGGGGAAACAATGGAAACAGTGACAGACTTTATTTTTGGGGGGCAGCTCCAAAATCACTGAAGATGGTAACTGCAGCCATGAAATTAAAAGACATTGGCTGCTTGGAAGAAAAGCTATGGCCAATCTAGAAAGCATTTTAAAAAGCAGAAGCATTACTTTTCCAACAAAGGTCCATCTAGACAAAGCTATGGTTTTTCAAGTAGTCATTTATGGATGTGAGAGTTGGACTATAAAGAAGGCTGAGTGCCAAAGAATTGATGCTTTTGAACTGTGGTGTTGGAGAAAACTCTTGAGAGTCCCTTGGACTGCAAGGAGATCCAACCAGTCCATCCTAACAGAAATCAGTCCTGAATATTCATTGGAAGGACTGATGCTGAAGCTGAAACTTCAATACTTTGGCTACCTGATGTGAAGAACTGACTCATTTGAAAAGACCCTGATGCTGGGAAAGATTGAGGGCTAGAGGAGAAGGGGATGACAGAGGATGAGATGATTGGATGGCCTCACTGACTCGATGGACATGAGCTTGAGCAGGCTCTGGGAGCTGGTGATGGACAGGTGGCCTGGTGTGCTACAGTCCATGGGTTGCAAAGAGTCGGACACGACTGAGCGACTGAACTGAACCAAACACCCCAATCTCCTCTACTATGGCATATAGAAAGGCAAAATTGGAAATAGTGACGAATTTTATTTGCTTGGGCTCCAAAATCACCCCAGTGGATGGTGATCAGCCATGAAATTAAAAGATGCTTGCTCCTTGGAAGGAAAGCTATGACAAACCTAAGCAGCATATTAAAAAGCAGAGACATTACTTTGCTAACAAAGGTCCATCTAGTCAAGGCTATGTTTTTTCCAGTAGTCATGTATGGATGTGAGAGCTGGACCATAAAGAAGGCTGAGTGCCAAAGAATTGATGCTTTTGAACTGTGTGTTGGAGAAGACTCTTGAGAGTCCCTTGAAATGCAAGGAGATCAAACCAGTTAATCCTAAAGGAAATCAACCTTGAATATTCATTAGAAGGAATAATATTGAAGCTCCAATACTTTGGTCACCTGGTGCAAAGAGCCGACTCATTGGAAAAGATCCTCATGCTGGGTAAGATTGAAGGCAAGAGGAGAAGGAGGTGGCAGAAAATGAGCTGGTTAGATAGCATCATTGACTCAATGGACACGGGTCTGAGCAAACTCCAGGAGATAGCAGAGGACAGAGAGCCTGGTGTGATGGAGTCCATGGGGTCATAAAGAGATAGACATGATTGAGTGACTGAATGATAACAGTCTTCTCTACAATTGCCAGACTTTGCTTTGTTTATTTTAAAGCAAACTGGTTTTAGTCTCGTGGAGAAAAGAACTTCACACGACATCAAATTAACAGGATCCTGAATTTGAGGTGTTTAAATAGATGGTATTGCAGCTGGTAATGTGATGGTAGTAACATAACTGATGTTATCCAAATCCTTTCTGCCAGTTTTCGCTTCCCAAAAGTATCAGTCCTACCGCTACCAAGAAGGCTATTAATAGCTAACTAAATTTAAGTTCTTCTCAGGTGCCGGTCATTGGGTTAAGTTTGTTTGTTTTAACTCTATTATTTCCTCTAATACTCTCAATGACATTACATAGTAGTTACTACTATTATCTGAATGTTATACATAAAGGGGCCCAGGCTCAGAGAGATAGAATGAGTAACTAGAATGTCTGACCCCCAAATTGACCAATCAATAATATTAATCCATCCCATGCCCCCTCTTTTATTGTGTAGGAAGGTTATGTGTCCCTTGAATTTTTATTTAACTTTATGCACAAATGAACCTCCCAGCACACCCAGAAATGGTGTCAACCACATAACAGATGAATGGTGAACGTTTTGCTAGATTGATGCCACTGTACGAATAAAGGGTATGATAGTATAATTGACTATTTTTTAAATATTAAAGAATCTATTTATTTGGATAGCATCTCAAAGAGAATACAGTAGTATCTTTTGGAGATGGCACAAATCTACAGGGATCTTAAAGATCACCTAGTCTAACCATCTGCCAAAAGTGTCTGGCCAAGTTTAATAGTCTTTAAATGCTTTCAGTGGCTCTCCCATTGTTTCCAAGGTGATGCTGTTGCTATTCAGTTGCTAAGTCATGTCCAACTCTTTGCGACCCCAAGGACTGTAGCACACCAGGTTTTACTGTCCTTCACTGTCTCCCAGAGTTTGCTCAGGTTCATGTCCACTGGGTCGGTGATGCTATCTAACCTTCTCATCCTCTGCCGCCTCCTTCTCCTTTTGTCTTCAATCTTACCAGCATCAGGGTCTTTCCCAATGAGTTGGCTCTTCACATTAAGGTGAAGTGCAGACACTTTAATATGATTTCCAAGGGTCTTTCATAATGGGGTCTCTGCTTATCTCTTTGATCTTCTTTCTTACAAGTTCCCTGCGTCCCCTGTTCCTCCTCATCCTCTCCTTCCTCCTTCTGTGTCCCTACCATTCACCTCACATCACAGAAAGACGCACAGTCTTGGTGCTAACAGAACATTTTCCTGCTCCTCTAAGTCTGACAACTCTCCATGGCTTCTGCATTTTTAGCTCATGAGATTCCATCTGCCTGGAATGCCATTACCTTTCTCTGGCTAATTTCTTCTTAAAAACCACCTCCGGGACATTTGGAGAAGGCATCTCTTAGCAGTGCTTCTGCCATTTCTTCTGCTCTCCAGTAAGAGACCACAGCTCGCACTGGACAATTAACTTGATCCCCACCTGATCATAAGCTCTTTGGAGGCTGGAACTACAACTGTTCTGGTGCTATGTCCCTGCAGGACCAGGGATAGAGGAGGCTGAATGTGCTCTTGGTGAATGAATGAGCTGGACCCAGCAACCAGGATTTCAATGCTCGCTGGGTTCTCGTCCATGAATACATCAGCGTATCAAGTGGGGAAGACGCAGAAGCAATGAAGTCTTTGTGCAGTACAGTCTTCTGACTTCTGGGAATGGTGTTCACATGGGTCATAGTCTGAGCTGCCCTGAAAACTCATAGAGGCTTAACCACAGTCCTGAAGACTACTCAGTTCTGTGGCTGCTCCGAGCCGCGGGAGGCCAGTCTAGATCTGGGCATGGAGTTTCATCTGTGTGAGCATCCCCTGTTGCATAGAATGGGCCTCCCAGGTGGCTCAGTGGTAAAGAATCCGCTTGCCAGTGCAAGAGATGTGGATTCGATCTCTGTGTTGGGAAGATCCCCTGGAGAAGGAAATGGCAACCCACTCCAGTATTCTTGCCTGGAGAATTCCATGAACAGAGGAGACTGGAGGGCTACAGTCCATGGGGTCTCAAAGAATTGGACACAACTGAGCATGCATGCACAGATGAATGATTGTAAAGAATGTCCAAAAGCTTCTTAGGCAGGCACATCTCTCCCACTCCCCATATCTACATGGAACCCTCATTCCCTTCTGCTTTGTCCCAGGATGACAGCATGGCCCAGTTGGAAGGGTCTGTGGAGACCGTCTTGCTCAGCACCCTTATTCTGATATAGGTTGATGTAGGACAGGGAGCTGGAATCCCTAAACATCACATGGTAGTGGGCAGAACCCTGCATATGAGAACCCAGGTTTTGTGTATTATTTTAAATTATTGACAGAACAACTGTACGGGGTGGCATCTGTTATTAACCCACTTGTACAAGTGAAGGAGGTAAGGCCTAAAGATGCCACGTGGCTGGTCCAAAGTCCCACACCAGCTAGAACATCTAGAGCTCTGTCTCCACCCACTACTCCAAACCCCCGCTTTCCAATCAGAATACACGTCAGTTACTGGACCACCCAGAGAAGGTGGGATTTTAAACCTCACTACCAATCTAAGCCCCTGGGTTTGATTTGCTCCATCTTCTTCTTTCTCTGTTTTGCAGTAGAACAATGTCACTGAACTCACTCTTAATGTATCGCCTTGGGAGACATGTCACCATAAAGCCTAAAGTATGAAGTTGGTCAGGAGTGACCAGCTTATGTTGACAGCTCTGAGAAGCCCTGATTCCAAAACCCTGCTAGTTCTGTGCCCCAGCCCAGTACTAGGAACCAAGGCAGATTCCCAGGGAAAGATCAAGCAAGTACAACTTGCACCCTTTTCCAGGGGCACTCGGGGCAAAACTGCGCTAGGTTGCAGCTTATCACAAACATCTTTTTCTGTACTGGCTGTGTGACCTTGGACAGGCTGCTTTTCCTCACTGGGCCACTGGGTCTCAGCTTCCTCACCTCTAAAATGGGAGTGGTAACAGCCCTCCTCTCGAGTGTAGTGAGTTTTCGATGAGGTCTTTGGAAGAGAGACCATCAGTGGAAGTCAGTTAACCATGTGTTTAACACACAGGAGCTTCAGCGCAAGACCTCTCCCGCCTTCTCCTCTGGACAGATGCCAACACCTGGGAGAAAACACGGCAGAAAACAGATCCGCTTGGATGGCCACAAGGAGAGAACCGCATTACAGACAGGACTCACCAAGAACGGCAAGCAGGCTGAGCCCAGAGAGCTGCGTCTTAGTCTTTTAAAGGCTGCTGCTGCTATTTAAAGAGAGCTTCCCAGGTGGCGCTAGTGGTAAAGAACCCGCCTGCCAATGCAGGAGAAATAGGAGACGCAAGTTCAAACCCTGGGTCGGGAAGATCTAGAGGAGGGCACGGCAACCCACTCCAGTGTTCTTGCCTGGAGAATCCCATGGACAGAGGAGCTTGCTATTTAAAGAGAGCTTCCCAGGTGGCGCTAGTGGTAAAGAACCCACCTGCCAATGCAGGAGAAATAAGAGACGCGAGTTCAAACCCTGGGTCGGGAAGATCTAGAGGAGGGCACAGCAGCCCACTCCAGTATTCTTGCCTGGAGAATCCCATGGACAGAGGAGCCTGCCAGGCTACAGTCCATGCGCCTGCAAAGAGTCGGACATGACTGAGCCACTGAGCACATGCTATTTAAAGAAACTCTCCTGGGGAGGCTCTCTGAAAAAGCACACCCCCTCTCCTCAACGTCTCCCTGCCTGATGGCTGCGTGTTTGTAGTCATGAGGGCTTCTTGGCAGCGAGACAAGCCCATGAGTCACGTTGAGAGCCCAGTGCCTACAGGATTATTCCCTTTGGTGTCATGCCCACACCACCATAATTCCCCGTTCCATTTGCTACTTCATGTTTTTAAAGCTTCTGCAAAATAAATAACCATTGAGAGGACTAGAAATGGATATGCATGCCACAGGTGTGGTTCCTGTTACTGGGGTAATGTGCTTCTGTTCTCCCCCAGCCTGGTAGAAAATGGGTGGTGACTGTTGAAAGCATTAGGCTCATCCATCCAGCCCATCCTTCCATACAAATGACTGCTCCACTAGGAGCTCATTGGAACCTTCCTCTACCTTCCAGAAACAAGGGGTAAAAAAAAAAACATTCACTGTCATCATCATCATCACTATCTTTATCACTATCATGGTTATTTTTAGCTACTACTTATTATTACATATCAAGTCATTTACATTAATTATCTACATTTGATTGATGGAGAAATCAGGAAAGATTTCTGATGGGGAAAGATTAGATGAACTGCTCAAGTTCGTGCCCAAGAGTTAGGATTCCCAGTGTGGTAGGATACTTCCAGGTGGCTCAGACAGTGAAGAATCTGCCCACAGTGCAGGAGACCGAGGTTCGATCCCTGGGTGGGGAAGATCCTTTGGAGAAGAGAATGGCAACCCACTCCAGTATTCTTGCTGGAGAATCCCATGGACAGAGGAGCCTGGCGGGGTCCCAGGAGTCCACGAGTCCCAAAGAGTCATACACAACTGAGCGACTAACACAATTTCACAGGGTGCCTCCAGGATGGCACCCAACTATCCTTGCCTTCTGGTACTCACACCTGGGGGCAATCCTCTTCCCTTTAGCGTGGGCTGGATTTAGTGGCTTGCTTCTGGCAATATACCAGACTGTGACAGAGGGGACGGGGCACCACTTCCGAGGTTAGGTGATAAAGGACCGTGGCTTTCATCATGGCTAGTCTGTCCTGCCTGCTCACCCCGAGGAAGCCAGTTGCCAGGTGTGAGCTGCACTATGGGAAGATGTTTCTGGTTTGCAGACACCAAGGACATAAATCTGCCAACAGTCATGAGAGTGAGCCTGGAAGCAGATTCCCCCCAGTTGAGTGCTGAGATGAATGCAGGCCTGGCTGACATCTGGATTCAAGCTTTGTGAGGAACACTGGTCCAGAGGCACCCAGCAAAGACACACTGGGCTCCCTAAACTATGGAGACTGTGGGATAATAAATTTTTGCTCTTTCAACTGCTGTGTGTTGTGCTAATGTGCTACACGTGTGCTACGTGCTAAGTCGCTTCAATCTTGTCTGGCTCTTTGCGATCTTATGGACTGTAGCCTGCCAGGCTCCTCTGTCCATGGGATTCGCCAGGCAAGAATACTGGAGTAGGTTGCCATTCCCTTCTCCAGGTGACCTTCCTGACCCAGGGACTGAACCGGGGTCTCCCACATCGCAGGCAGACTCTTTACCATCTGAGCCACCAGGGAGACCCATAGGTACTAGTTACAGTCGGCGAGAGTGAACTGAAATTGGCTGTATCCTCCCGAGGGGGATGCGTTCCAACTCATACGTGGGCTTCCATTGGCTGTGGTCATTACCATGTCTTATTAATAACACGTGGACTTGGACAGGACCTGTGGCGCCTAGGAATACCCCAGAAAGCTGCACGGTGCCACTCAACAGGGCTTCTCTTTGTTTCTTTTCCCTTGGCGTTTTCTTGTTGATTGGTAAAGTCTTTGTGAACATCCCAGGCAATCTCAAAGGTGGTAATGATCTAACCAGAGCTGAGACAGAGGTGACTTTTGTTATTGGTGGTGGTGTTTCAGGAGCTTTAATTGATCTGAAGCTTCAAGGGGGGAACTGGGTGGTATTCCTTTGGGGAGCCTGACAATAGCTGTAGATGGGAGTCAATGAGAGAGACCCACCGAGAGGACATGAGAGGCACAGAGTGGACCGCTTTCAGAGCTCCCTGCACCATATGTCTTTCCAGCACCTGAAGACTCCACCTCCAGGGCCAGAGTCCTGCCGACTCTGTGTCCTTCTAAGAAGGGGGTCGCACCTTGCTTCCTTCGGGGGCAGAGAGGATCCGGGTGCAGGAAAATGCGTCGGGCTCGTCCTCTGGTACACTGGCTTGGGGTGCAGGGCAAGTTGGGTTGTGCATTTGGACATAAGCTGGAGGAGGCAGGCCCACTGCAGGGTCTAGGGAGAACCCGGGGGCAGAGGGTGGGCACAGGAAGACTGAAGAGTGTCGGGTATCTGCAGCTGCCGCTCAGGCGCTCAGCCGTGCCCGCCTCTGAGACCCCCTGGACCGTAGCCCCCCAGGCTCCTCCATCCACGGGACTCTCCAGGCAAGAGTACTGGAGCGGACTGCCATTCTCTCCTCCAGGGGGTCTTCCTGACCCGGGGACTGAACTTACGTCTCCAGCGTCGCAAGCAGATTCCTTACTACTGAGCCACCTGGGCGCTCCTATATCCTCCATCCAAGTTCTTCACTCTACGTCCTGAATCTATATTCAAGACCCAGTTTAGCCCTGAGCCTTTAGGGTCCCTCACATAATGGGCCTCACCAGCTATGTGGAACCCAAGGGGTCTCCGTTTCATTTAAATTTTTGCTCTTTCAACTGCTGTGTGTTGTGCTAATGTGCTACACGTGTGCTACGTGCTAAGTCGCTTCAATCTTGTCTGGCTCTTTGCGATCTTATGGACTGTAGCCTGCCAGGCTCCTCTGTCCATGGGATTTGCCAGGCAAGAATACTGGAGTGGGTTGCCATGCCCTCCTCCAACCCAGGGCCTGAACCTACATCTCTTATGCCTCCTGCACTGGCAGGTGGGTTCTTTACCATTAGCATCACCTTAGCAAAAATCGAGCTCTTACACCAGCTTTGGTTGGAAAGGAAAGTGAAGTCCCTCAGTCGTGTCTGACTCTTTGCGACCCCATGGACTTACCAGGCTTCTCCATCCATGGGATTTTTCCAGGCAAGAGTACTGGAGTGGGCTGCAATTTCCTTCTCCAGGGGATTTCCCTGAGCCAGGGATAGAACCCAGGTCTCCCACATTGCAGGCAGATGCTTTACCCTCTGAGCCACCAGGGAAGCCAGCTTGGTTGACCTCAAAGCTGAAGTGTTGGACTCTTCCTCTGTGTCACTGTGTTCTTAGCACTCCTGTCTTTCCATTGTAATGTTGCAAGGCAGTGCTCTGGGGACCTCCTTCCAAGGATGACCCACAATGGAGCAAAGGACAAAAAGACTGGGAGTTGAGAAGGAGAGAAGAAAGAGTGGAGGGAAGTTGGTTAAGAAATTCCAAAGTCTGACGTTTTACACTCCACCATTGCTGGGCTCTAAGAAGGAGCCCAGGTGTGCACAGTTCAAGAACTGAGATACGCTGAGTCTAGTAAGTATTATAACAGCCTTTTGGGGCTAGATTGTAGCCAGGGCATCATATATAGTTGTAGTATATGGGCACTGCTCAGAGGTGGAAATAAAGTGAAAATGATGTGTTAGTCACCCAGTTGTGTCCGACTTTTTTTGACCCATAGACTGTAGCCTGCCAGGCTCTCTGTCCATGGAATTCTTCAGACAAGAATACTGGAGTAGGTTGCCATTCCCTTCTCCAGGTGACCTTCCTGACCCAGGGACTGAACCNCCTAGCAACACCGCCAAGCATCCCACGCCCCCTGGGTCTCAGAGATTCACCTGTGCTGCACCCCACCGGGACTGCTCCCCCTCCTGTCTCCCTTTCATCCTCCTCACAACTATTGCTCATCCTGGTGAACTACTACACATACTTCAAAACCCAGTTCACAGACCATTTCTCGCAGGACACCTTTCCTGACATCTGGTGACCCGCCCCCACCCCAGTATCCCAGGCTCTGTCAGAAAAGCCACTGTGTCCTCCCATAATAGCAGGTATTTCCTCTCACATAACATGCATTGTCCTGATTATAATGATCTGTATTTATGATCGCTCTTTCCTATTCACTGAGAGTTACAGCTGACAGCAGGCATGTCAGTATCCCAAATGCACACTCTAGGGGATCAAAAATATTTTTCAAATGAATATATACATGTAACGGGAGAGCATGGGAGGAAAAGCGACCCCGTGAAGAAGGTCTAAATGGTTTGTCCCTGAAATGTGCCTGCACATGGCGGCAGGGTGCTCTGCACTTTTTAATGAATTACCCTGAAACCGTGTACAAGCCCCTGTGTCCTTGTCTTTGAAGTAAAGCGCTGCCTCGAGAGTTAATGATTAGGAAACGTGAAGATGCCAAACAAAGACTAAGTGTTGGGCTGGGGAACTGGCAGCAATTTGGACTAATTCCACCACATAGCAGAATCACTGACTCCCGATTTCCTGCAAGTTACAGATAAAGGCCTGGCACACATTCCTAAGTTGGTTTTACAGGAAGCAGAACCCTCCTGATGGAAACTGTTGACCACAGGAACATAGACTCTAAGACTGGTGAAAACTAGAAA